TCTCCAGGACTCATCCCCACACCTTCTGCACAGCAGAGGGTAGTACACAGGTGCCCTTGGTACCTGCTGCTGAACTTTCTCCTGAAGTATTAAGAGGCAGGATGTTATTTGCCAGTTATTTCAATATTAACCCCATTTAAAAAACTGTTTTCCACTAAGAAAGAAACTACTGAACAAACCTTTTAGCTGTTTCCGCAGACTGTTGTTCTGCCAGTTCCTTCTGCAGCTCCCTTTCCTTGGCCTCTTTCTGCCCAATAGGGCAGTCTTCAGGCACGGTGAATAGTGACAATGCATCTTTGCTATCTTCTTCTCGGAGAACTTTAGCAAATACTTTCTCTGCTAGAAGTCGTACTTGCTCATCAACCTCAGAGATGTTCAGCTTTGGAAACTGTCTGGGCATCTCAGCTAATAAGGAAGACAGTTGACAAAGTTATAACTACAAGAATAAAGATGTGTGAGACTGGGGGGGTTTCATGGTACACCTATCAAAATTAAGAGCTTAGAGCAAAAGCAGAATAAAGTAGAACAGCTACACAGAATTTAAACCAGTATGCAGTACACAAGAACCATAGGTATCCACCAAGAATCTTTACTTGTGTAGCCATGCTAATTTGTGAATCAGCCACTTCTTGGTCTTAAGACATTCTTAAGATATGTATGACAGATTTGCCAGTAGATTCCACTTACTTGCATTGCCAGGCTATATTATTTGTGATATAATGTATACATAGCTGTACATACTTGCACTGAACTTGGAAATCACATCCACCCAGTTGCCTGCCCTGCCCAGTGACTTTGAACGAATTTGAGAGCCACAAACAGGTTAGAAGAGCAGTCTGCACATTTCTACTTCACTCCATCCTTTCCACAAATAAGAAAGTCATGGAACTGCTTTGAAGTAAAATGCTTGCACAACAGGAGCAAATATGGTGTGACTTCTCCCACCTCCCCTCCCCCCCCCCCATTTGTTTTCAGCACTTTGTATCCTGCTTTTGAATTGTATGTGGGAAGCAGACAGGATATGGGCTTTATACATATCTGGTAGCATTCTGGAGGGGAAAAAAATACAGGCTTTGTAAGCTACTGACCAGTATTATTCATTATGTACTATAAAGCTTTTTGAATGCCTTCAGTATGATGGAGCTTGTAACAAATAAGATTAAATTCTTATTACCAAAGTTAAAAATAGCGATGAACATGTCACAACAAATGGATCCAAGCACTGTCAGAATGTGATGAAGTCTGGGTCCAAAACTGGCATTTCACAATCTTTTGGTTACAAAAACACAAGCATATTTTATAAGATGATATTCATTTACATAGCGATGTATGCTGAAAGTGAGCATGACAGTTTTTAATCGCTCCAGACATAACTTATCAGGGCCCCCACTACAGCATTTCTGCAGGCATGCTGCAAGTTTCAAATGTTGATATGTGATCCTTTTGATATGTGATCCTGTTGTTTTCAGCCTAAAAGATTCTAATTAATGTCCACCTGTTTTCAGAGTTGCCTTGAGAACACTTGTGCTTTTATTCTAAAAGCAAATACAGATGAAAAGTTGACAAGAGATATACTGGCCCATAAATGGGCCATAAACATGGCAATGTAAGGAACATCTACATTATTTTGTATTCTTATTTTGTAAGAACTATCTCACATCCCAGCAGAAAAATATCACTGGTTTTAAAGAACTATGGATCTGACTCTGTAGCTTTTCTGCCTGGAAAGTATTTGTTTTGCAATTAGCATTAAGTCTTCATAAAATCAAGTACAGCTACATAAGAAACATAAAAATACCTACATATTTGGCTGAATGATTCAATGACAATGCAGTATGATGTCTCATAAGCATCCAAACTTAGATTCAGTTTCTCAATTTCAAAACTCAATGAAGTCATGGGAGTCTTTCCACTGACCTCAGTGTACACAGTTGTCAGCAACAGTAACTGCCACACATGCAGTTCCCAGCAACAAGGGCCACTTTAGCCATTTCAGCCATGCAAGAACTTGACCACATTAAGAGTGCTAGCAATAATAGTAAAATGTGGAATTATAATGCTTCTCCTGGTTCTAAGTCAACAATCAAAACATCTTCACTACTAGCTAAGACAGGAAAAATCAATTGGTTGTATGTTTATCGCTGGCTGAGCATTTGCCTAGTGTAAGTCAACTTTCTCTTAGAGAACTGTAACCAGAAACAAAATGCAGTCAGAACCACATTGCATGAGCAATCATACTATATTTTAAATCTTTACAGTAATACCTAAGTCAAAATGAAGTGATACAAGTACAGTATTCTACCAAGACCAAAGTGTTAGGTATTTTTTCTTTCTTACAGAACCTGATCTCATGTTCCCCACTCAAACAAATGTGAGACCAGGGCACAAAACACTTTGAAAGGTAGGTTCACCCACATCACTGCTACTTTATGTCACTGAAATGAGCTTAATAAACCTAAAATAGTCATGAGGCACTTGACACAATACTCATGCAAGCTATGCCATCCTGGACTGCAAAAGCGATGAGAATCTTGTATCCAGTATCCTTCTATACAAATGCTGTCCTTTACCCAAGGTGAGCAACTGGGGGAGCAACAGCTAGACATACTAATGGGATAGGAAGGGGGTATGAATGGCATCCAGCAACCAGCAAATGCTCTTTTCCTAAACCACTCTCACAGAAAGACTGCTTAGTTGTTCTTTGGTTCTGCACCTTTGTAGAAGAAAGCCACTGAAGCGTACTGCATAAAAAAAAATAAATGATGGAATGATTATTTTAAAAGCAACTATTGATCAGGAATGTAATGGGCTTGAATATATAATGAGCACACACCATGAAAACAAGAACGACAACCGCCGCCGCCTTCAAACCCCCACGTATAGCCAGCTGACACCGCAGGGAGCCGCATCCCGTCACCGCGAGAAGGTGGGGCCCGGCCGGGCCATGGGGCGCAGGAGCCCAGTCACGGCCGCCTCAGGTCCGTTCCCGCTAGGGCGGCTGCCAAGGTCACCACCACTACCCCGGCCCAGGCCGGCACGGCGCTGCCGCCCGCCTCGGGACTTACCTAGTGCCCCGGAGAAAGCCATGCTGGGGCAGGGGTGGGTCGCGCCACCGGCGCTCCCGACGGATGGAAAGACTCTGTCAGAAGCCGCTGCCGGCGGAGAAGGAGGCGGCGGGAGGGAGGAGCTGCTCCCGCCAGATGCCGCCGCTCCCCTGTGCCGCATTCCCCCACCGGCCGGCCGGCCGGCCACCCCGATACCGCAGTGCCGCGCCGCCCTTTCCCCGGCCCTTTATGGCCGCCACGGCCCCCGGGCGGAGAAGCCCGCCTGCCGCGTCCCCGGCCCCACCGGGGCGGCCCGCTGCTTCCTGGGCAGCAGCATCAGGGCCCGGGGAGGCTCCGCAGCAGGTGGGGCCGGCAGCTGGCGGAAGGAGGGCACTAAGGTGGGGGGCGGCGGGCACAGTGTGCAGCGTCGGGCCGGACGAAGCGCCAGCCGCAAGGACGACCCCCGGCTCTCTGCCCGCGGGTCCGCTGGGGTTGGGGGTGCTTCCCGCCCCAGCCCAGCCCAGCTCTGGCGAGCGGGGCGAGCGTCGCGGGGGGCCGTTAACGGTCGCCCTGACTGGGCGGGGCGAGGGGGCGCGCGCCCTGTCCGTACCTCACTGAGGAGACTCCCGCCCAGCGGCGGCGGTTGTTTGTTTCTGGAGGAGACAGCCGCTGCGGGCACTGCCCGGCTCCGCTCGCTCCCTCGCTCGCACCTGCGAGAGTGGCGGGGGCAGGGACGGCGCCTCCCCCTTGGGGCCGTGGCTTCAGCGGGAGCCGGAGGAGCGGAGGGAAGCCTTGTTCCGCCGCTTCCCCTTCGGAAGCTTCAGGACAGAAGTCGCTCTGTCACATGTCTCCACGCCGGTGTAGGAGAGGGCTACCCGGGCCGCGCCGCCTCGGCCCTCCTCAGCCCCCCTCGGCTGCGGGACGCCGCGTGAGTGCCGCCTTCACAAGCGCTCGTTTCAAAACTCCTTTTCAAAAAGCGCTTCAATGTAGAAAACTTTGGTTTGAGACCAGAAAGTCGTGAGGTTGGTGCAAAGATGAAACCCGATAAGTAAGTTTGCTGGCGGTGTATCCGTATCAGACTTTTTCTCAGAAATGTCCCCCCTTCAGCGTAGCGACACGGCTCAGGTGTTTATGTGTGTTTTTTTTTAAATAAACTTACCGGATAAAGAGCTCAAGACAAATAACTGAAGGTCGAAATAAGCATGAGTAAGCAGGAATGAGGATCATATAAGGATCATACTATGTAAAATAATTTGACCTTATTTTGAGATATTTTGGGCCCTGAAGTTGAAAGGTTTACGGATGTTTATGGTAAATTTGGGTTACAGTACTTGGAGTCTAACCTGAAGACATTTAAATATAAAAGTATCTGTACAACACAGGGAAGCACTGGGAACGTAGTGACTGAAGAACAAGGCTAGCTATGTAATGAGCAGGGTAGAAGTAGATCTCACAAACTGTGTGAGGAATCAGGTGGTTCTGTGGTAAGTGTGCTGTCCCCGTGTCCTCCCAACTTGGTACACGAAAAAATGTTCCATGTGTAAATCTCAGAGGTTTTTGGCTTCAGAAATTCCTTTACTTCCCACAGCTGGTGAAGAAATGGAAGTGAAAAGAAAAGTAGGTAACCATACAAATTTTGAGTTGCAAAGAAGAGCTGCAAAAGTTTGCGTAGTCTGAATTGCAAATAAGGGCAGATATTTTGACTAGTATCAACACGATCACCTTCATGTACTCATAAAAAAAGATAAGAATTATGGCCACAGCTGTTGTATGAAACATGTACCAATCCAAAGCATTTGAAAATGAGTCACAAGCAATTTTTTTTTTTATTTTAAAATAATAATTCTACTACTAAAAAAAAAAAAAAACAAACCCAACATTGTTTCTTAGCTTGGGAAAAAAGGTTGTACTGCATGTCCATGTTTCTCCCACTCTGAATGTCTTCATCAGCTTCATCACCCAGACAAGCCATCTGCCACCCGGAAACTACAAACTGTAAATGTCTGTAAGTCTGACTCATAGTTGCCCTGCCCACACGATATATGAGTAAAGGACACCTGTTGCTGCTGGCCATTCTGTAGACACGTTTACTGCTGATCTGTTAGTCCTGCTTCTTTTCTCCTGTTTCCTATGTCCTTTTTCCAGCTGCCTCTCTGAACTTGCCCAAACTTGCCTTCTTCCCAACATGGAGTCTGCCTGGCAGTCTGGGCACCTTAGTGGCCCTCTAGTCATAGTTGTGCCCTGACTGCTGGACTCGGGTATCCCGTGGGTTCTTGGATTCTTCTTTTCAGCTTGGCAAATAGGTCTTGCCTCCACACTTGATTTAATCTCTCTTCTAACTGTGGAATGCAAGAGCCTGGAAGAGTTCCCTCCTGTGCTATTGCTGGCTTTCTACCAACTGCAATGAAAAAATAACGGCCTTAAAGATAACTGAATTTCTACAGTTTTCTTTCATGGAAACAAACAGCTCTGTATACCACAAGTGAGAAAACATTGCAGTGTGAGTTAACCTTTTATGAAGGCCAGAGAATTCACACAGAAATAAGACCTTAAAAATGCCTTAACAAAGAAAAACCTTTATGACCACTGAAGTACAAATCTATAAGGATGTCAGACACTTGTACTAGGTGACCATGACTATTTAAACGAGCTTTCCTTTTGTAACAAGTTGGAAGCCCTTAAAGGCAAACTGAGATCATAACTTAGTAAATGCATCTAATTCAAGCATTAAAGAAATACTGCAGTAAGTAATAATGCCAGGATTGACTGTAAGACTAGGGCAGTGGTAATAAAAAATGGTAGTAAGAAAATACTTCAGGTCCTCTCACATTTCAAAAGCTGAGAACAGTGAAATAGCATGTTTGCAGTAGCAGATATTGTGCATTTCCATTAGCACCTGCAAAACATAAAACCTTGAACTTTGCATCTAGACTTAGAACACCCCAGTGATGTCAGCACCGTTAAACACTTACCATGTGGCCCATGAAGGAGTCTTTCTGCCAGTCCAGTTTTTTGGATAGATTATACTTTTATACACATATTGAAAGTAGTGCAAGTATCTCCAGAGCCATTTTCAGTTCTGATTCCTGCATTAAATGTCAGTACTTTCTGAAGCCATTTAGTTAACTTCTTTTGTGTAGCAAGCGGTTCTCTCAGGTAAATTTTGCACTATGTAAAAACGTATTTCTTTTTATCTTTATAATCTTATTTTGCAAGAAAAAGTTATCCCCTTCCTTTTACCACAAAATTACAACTGATTACACTTTTTTACATTATTTTTAAAATTCTGTATTTGTTATACCTTCAACTTACTCTAAGCCCTACTTTAGAGATTATTCTTTTGGTGACAGTAGTAAACTCATGATCATTCCAGTGTACATGGTATTTGGACTGCTCTTTTGCAGTCAGTCTATTTCAAAAAGGAAATGCAATAAAAATTTTAAAGCTATGCTTGCATGTCAATATGTCCTGAGGAATGGAATAAAATAAAGAAAACCTTAAACATACATCTGTATTATTAATACTTATTTTTAGAAATAGACACATCTTGTCTGGGAGATGATTATAGCTGGAATGCATATTCATCAAAATTAGGGAACGGTCTCTCGTTCTCACTTGAAATCATTTCAGTTATAATGTACTGCTTTCATTTGAACAGTGCCTTAAAAACTAATGGATTTTGAGTTCATTTTTTTTTAAATAGATTCATATTACTGACAGTGATACTGATAACAACAAAACAACTAATGGATCAAATGAAATATTTCAATCTATAACATACCCATTAGTGGCTTCCAAGCAATATTAGTTGCAGTACTTGCTTTTCTGATCTTCAGTCAGTTCAATTAATGATATGCTTGGCACACATGCATTTACTTACTTAAGAGTAGCTGATATTCCAATAGCAAAAACCTCATGCTTAAATGAAGTCATCTCCAAAAGCTGGAGGGGAGGTTTGTGCCAGATGTGAAATGTAATTGAATTACGTTATCAAATACTCTATACTAGAGTATGATTCAACTTTTTAAACAAAATGGTAGATGAAAATTGTAATCAGTCAAAAAGGGAGAAAATTATTCCCCGAGTGATTGAAATGATACAAAGCAAATCATATCTGTCTGTTTTATGAAGTCAGCAAATCAAAAAAGCATCATCTTTCTTATCTGCTGCTTTTCAAAAACCTTGTAGGAATTTTGACATATGAGTGTTCAATCCTGTATGTGAATTAGACTCAGTTAAGAACTCTCGACACAGATAACTGGGTCTTTCTCAGTATTGAGTTAAACTAGAATTTGTAAATCTAAAAGTTTGGTTCCTACTCAAAATATAAGCAGTAGATTTTCTATATTTTAGGGACTGCTCAAGGCCATTCCAGAAAGTATGTGAGAGCAGCAACAGGGAGAAGAAACTTTGGACCCATTTTTCATAAGCTCCATCTTGGATAGTTGTGCTGTTCAGAATATGTACATACAAGATACATCTATGCTTATATAAAATTTGAAAATTACTTGCACTGAGATTTAAACTGATAGCAAGTTTGGAAGCCTGTTTCTTGGGGTTTTTTTTCAGTAAATGACATTTTCCTTTCTGAAAGGATACCTGCAAGTACAATTGTCCTGTAGTGTGTTATTGTAAAAAAAACATAGATATAGTATGCAAATATAAATTCGATTATTTAAAAACTGAAGTGGGAACTATAGAAATTACAAAAGGATGTGGCTGTTCAGTGGCTACTTTGAAAATAAACTAGGAAAGTATCTGTGCAGTCCTAACAATCTGAGTCTGAAATAACAGAAGTTTTCCATGAGTTTATAAATGGAATATACTGTAATACTTTGTTGCACAAGAAAGGTTTACAAGCAAGATGGGATGCTGTGGTTTGTTTGGAATTGTAAGCTGTCATTCGGATATTTGGAAAGCTTTCTTTCCAGCCAGTTGGCAAATTCTTTGCTGGCATCTACTAACTGCCTTGCTTTGTCACAACAGCAGTGTGAAAATTCTAGTTTAAAACCAGTTTGTCTCAAACCTGCTTAGCTTGGACTTCACAAGTATTTACTCTTGATGGAGGACTGCCTTGCTCTGACATTATACATAATGTATCTGAAATTCTGAAATTGTAAGGAGGGGAGTTCTGACTGTATTGGGGAAACCTGTATGTGGAGCTGAAAGGCTTTTAGTCTGATTTTAGTCTGAGAATTTTCTGAAAGTTACATTTCGCACCTATTATGTGATCTGCAAATGAAATACTTTTTAACCACTGCTGTACAATATTGTTTTACTTAGCTTTAAGAGGAATTTTATTTGGTCAGAATGAACATAAAATACAGTATTCAGAAAGCAATAGTCTAATAAATTAAACACTGCCAGTGCATGAAATGAAAGAGTATAATTACAGCTCACAAAGGGTAACTCCATGGTCAGCTTTGGAAACTGCTAAAATAAAAAATATTCTGCATTATTTGATTTCTGCAGAAATCAGTACTGGAATCTAAATTGTATGAATAGAATTAGTTTACATATGAAGTTTGCAATAGAAGTGCAAACAGTTCCGTTAAGTGATACTTGGGTCTGCATTTATGTTACATCTAGATGACCACTAAGGTTTTTGTGATGATCTGAAACAAGGGTTCGCATCTGGCTTATTTGGCACTCAAGTCAGAAGTTTCATACCCAAAGAACAGATATCTGTGTGCTGCAGGTGGAGCACATAACTGTCCAGAAACTGGGATATGCAAGATATGGTTAAGACATAACCTCACACAAACCTTACATAACCTTACACGAACTTTACATAACTTTATTTAACTCAGGGCGAGGTGTTGGTGAACAGAAATCTTCCCTGTCCCCACAATATCCCCATCTTTTCTTTGTTTTACGAGTGTATTTTCCAAGTCTCCCCTTTTAGAAGTGTGGGTGAAACTCTGCAGCCTCCAAAGCCGGGAGTACATTTGTTCACAGGAGTTCTTAGGAGCCATTTACAGCCCAGATAAACCTACTCGATGTTGCTTGTGTAGTGCTAAGCAGTGTCAGTTGGCTTAGTCAGAAATCCAACTCCAGATGGTCTTATTTTTATACAGAAACTTAAACTTTCACCTGGGAGAAACTGCTTTATTTTTTTTACCAACCTGCCTGAGTGAAAATTGCCATGGCTAGGCCTGCACTTCTAGACAAGAGTGTCTTAGAAAGCCCCTGTCTTCCCTCCATAAATCTCATCTGAAACCTAATGTACGGGAATCCACAGCCTGTGAAATTCGCCGCCTGTTTTCCTGCCCTATAGACAGCAGGAGAACAACGCAATGTGTTTTCCGGGGCCGCGGCTGCCCAGGAGGGCTGTGCCAAGGGCCCGCTCCGCGCCCGGTTTCGCGCTCCACACTCCGCCCGCCAGCGCCGGGACGAGGCCTGCCGCAGCGAGAGCACCCGCCCTCCCCGCGCCTCCCGCCGCCTTATGTAAACTGCCGTTACGCAAGGAATGCGGATTTCACCTTACATAACCGTTGGCTCCTAACACAGGCTGCTTTAGTGGTGCCATTAGCGGCCATACATTAAAAGGAGGGGAAAGTGGTGCTTGCATTATTAGAGAGCTTCCTGGTTCCAGAATGGCTTGGTGACCTGTTTGCTGCTGTGGTACTTTTTACTAAGGCAATCGCATGAAACTCCCATCTCTTCCTTCACCTGGAGGAAACTCTCTTCTATTAAAATAACAGCACACATACTTAGGTCATATTTGTGCCCTTTCCTGGGTGTCTAAGAGAGATTCATAGTTATCACATAGAGAGAACTTAATCCAATACGAAGGGAAATCAAGATCTGTGTATCTCAAGCTTTATATTTCAACTAATGCCACAGTCAGAGGACCTGATTCTAATGTCTGTGTACAAAGGTAGGATTTCCAAGTGCCTAGCTACAGGGTTAGGCAAAAGAGCCCTGTAGATAGTACTCTTGTCTTTAGCGAACATTAGGAGAGATCCCAGAGATGAGTGGGGCCTGTTTCTGTT